CTGCTGAAGCACAAGCAGAAATTTTGCCCTGGATTCAACCCGTTTGCCTAGGGTCAGCACCCCCAACCCCACACATCCCCATCGATGGAGCAACCCTTGGACCATGCCTGGAGACCCAGCGCAGTGAAGCCTCAGGAGCCTGACCCGAGGATGGTGACGGAGCTGCACCCTGGCCCACAGCATCGCTGGGAGCAGCCAGAAGGGCCAAGGAGGGCTGTGGCGAAGCGGCGGCAGCTGAAGGAGGTGGCAGAGAGGCAGCCGACCCAGAAGGCCACTGTGAAAACAGTGCAGCAGCAGCAGGCGGCCCCCCCGCAGAGCTCCAAGCCTGAAGAGCAGGCTGCAGGAGGCAGGGGAAGTGGGAGAGGAGCAGCCAGATGCAAAACATCAACCGGCCAGCACCTCACAGGTCTTTGGGCCGGAGATGGATTTATCCCCCGCCCTTCACTCGGGAGTCTCAGAGCGGCTTACAATCTCCTTTTTCCCCTTCCCCTCCCCGCAAAAGACACCCTGTGAGGTAGGTGGGGCTGAGAGAGTTCTGAGAGAACTTGTGACTGACCCAAGGTCACCCAGCTGGCTGCATGTGGAAGAGTGGGGAATCAAACCCGGTTCCCCCAGATTAGAGTCCGCGCTCTTAACCACCGACTACACCAAACCACTACACTAAGCAGAAGGGGCAGCACTTCAGAAATGGCCAGGTAGGAATATTTGTTTGTAACAAAGCATGCAAACTTCGGAATTGCTCAGAATTCTGATGATGATGATGATGTATCATATCGGTAATTCTGTAACGGAAGATGCTGTGGGCAAAAAGAGGCATTCCATGGGTAGAGGCCTTGCCACCCACTGCTCCCCTCACTACAGCTCTGACCCCAGGACAAAGTACTTTTATTTCCTCACATATCCATGAAAGACAACCACTCTTATGCAGGGCAGCTTTTGGCTCTCTTAGATGTGTCCCAGACAGGTCTGTAGCCAGGATTGGGTGGCTTATGGGGCAATTTTTTTCTGGTGGGGCTGAAGTTCTCAGTGCAGGGGGAAAAAGCCATCTAGCCAATAGAAAGCGGTTACCAGGATGGATCCCTAAATTGCAAGCTGTCGACTTTAGATGACAGTTCCCAGCTGCTGCAAGTTAATCACTTCTGCCAGCCTAAGCAGCAATCCTGATAACAAGCCGGCAGGTGGGGGTGATGACTTCTAGAATCAAGAAGGCTAACACTCAGGCAGAAGAACTCTCTTAAAGGAGACCAGTTTCTTGACACAGAGTTAGAAGGGATCCTAGAGGTCACCTACTCCAACCCCCTTGCTTAGCGTGGGAATCAGTCAACTATAGCACCCCACTCTGCTTGAAGAAGCACACGTATTTTTTTTTAAAAAAGTTTTAAAATGATTGAAAAAAGCCTTTACGAGAGAAATTCTTGTAGGTCTGTGCCCTTAAGAAAGGGGGCGGAGCCCCCAAAAGCCACACTGTAGCTATGGGCCCGGTCCCAGACAACTCGCATTAAACTCAGCAGAAGCCGTGAGGAACTGACATATCTCACACCCTCCATTGTGTTCGTTGGAGTGAAAAATTCTACGAACTGGCTTCTACCACCCCAAGCCAACGCACAAAGGGGAAACATTCTGGTGGAAGGCGGCTCATCCTGAGCCAGTTCCTTTAAGCTGGGAAGAATGCTTCTGTGGAGACACAGGCAACAAGAGAAGCTTGTGTATTTAATAACGTTACAGGAGATTTGCGAGGCCTCTCTGCCGAACCCTGCCAAGACATACATCATATCAAAAATGGCTCGGTTCCCACCAGATGTGCATGTGTACTTTGGGGGTGCCTGAACAGCACACCACGAGCATCTAATTCCTAAATATGCAGCACATTTGACGATGAGCTTTGGTTATTTGCTTTGGCTAGACTTGTTTTAAGCCGGAGATCTCCCCACAAGAGGCTTCTTTGGCTGGAGGTCGGAGGATTCCTAACTGCAGGTTTGTACAAGAGTGCCTGGGAAAAACAGATTTCCTTCTTTAATAGTTTTAATGCCACCTGCTTTTTTTTAATATAGGTTTTTCCAGAACACGTTGATGGGCAATTTTAGACAGGTGGGGAAACATTCCCAAGGTCAGGTCAAGAAGCTGATTGAATCACCTCCAAGTTTTGTGGGGGGTTTTAATGGTAATGTTCTGCAGACCTCATAATACGTTTAATAGTTCAGCATTTAATATTACTTACTCACACAACAGAACGCCACTTTCTAGGCCAGACCGAAAATCTTTGTCTCCAAAGTTTTTCCCCGTTGCTTGCTGTAAAAGGGGGGAAAGAGAGAGAGAGAGAGAGAATTGTGAACATCCAAGCATGAATGAAAATCTGAAAGCTTTTTTTCTTAAAGAACCAGTCCACCAAATAGCATTTTCTTAACACACAAACTCTGAGCAATTCAATTTTGGGGCAATTCTGGAACAATATACTTGGCCCTCCTCCAGGGATGCTCTAGACCTCCATGTTCAGACTACCAGGAAACACAGAGAGTTCTTTTACTGACTTAAATGTTTTTATAAATAAGAACATGGGCTCTCTGCTTGAATGGATGGGCTACTGATGTCAGCGGGCAGAAGATTGTTACCGTCTATCAGCTTTGCTATCTGCACAGCTTGCTTGCCAGCACACAATTTATGGTAACTATAAGAAAATCGAATATGTTGATTTACTGCGATGCTCCCGCTCAGAACGAATTTCCATCTTCTTGCATATAAGGACTTATCTTCCCAATTAAGCTTACTAGTATGCAGGTCTATTTTTGGGCAGGAACGCACAGGAACGGAGTTCCGGCTGGCTCCTGAGTTGGCCATGCCCAGCAGGAACTCATTAGCATAATAGGCCACACCCAACAGCAGGAACTCATTAGGATTGGCTACATTAGGGGTGTGTGGCCTAACATGCAAAGGAGTTCCTGCTACAAAAAAAGGCCCTGGGTTTTGACAACAAACAAGGTAAACAGAATAAGAAGCGTGGCTGGATGACCACACTTCTGGTAACATGGGGGTGCGGCCTAATGTGCTAATGAGCTGTGCTGTCAGGGGTGTGGCCTAATATGCTAATGAGTTTCTGCTGTTGGGTGTGGCCTATTATGCTAATGAGTTCCTGCTGGGCTTTTTCTACAAAAAGAGATTGGGATTTATATTGGGATATATATCCCGCCCTGGGCCGTACGGGTAGGGCGGGATATAAATCCCAATATAAATAAATAAATAAATAAATAGTATGAGAGATCCATTGCAGTCTAAAGCTTAATCTGTGAGATACTTTAGGAATGTTTACCTTGAGTAAAAAGGACTACCTGCATCTGGTCTAATTAGCTACGGGGTTTTGTTGTTGTTTTAAAAAAGAGACAGTGTGATATAGTGGTTAAAGACACAGTGTGGTATAGTCCCTCTAGGATCTGAAAGGTCCATGTTGTTTTATTTTATTTGGAAGTGTACACCCTGCTTCTCTGACAAATGGGGATCCAAAGGAGCTTACAACTTTGTTCTCCCCTCATCAATTTCATTTTAGATTTCCAGTCTGCCATGAAGCTCTCTTGGTGAGCTTGGGCCAGTCATTCTCTTGCAACAGGGTTATTGGGAGGATAACTATACACACACACACCCTCAGGTTTGTGGAGAAAGAGAGGGATGGAAATGTATTAGATAGATAAAATAACAACTAACGCAATATGGAACGTTATAGGATCAATTGCACTTTGGGGAATGCAGGAACAGTTCAAGGGCAGGTGTCAAAACAGTTAGGAGACCTAAACTCTCCATTTAGAGGCCCGTGTCCACCAAACCATCAATTCTGAAAAGATCATTTATGGGTAAGTAAAGTGTGCATGTTGTCAAATTATGCCTGGCCAAGTCATCAACACCCTGACCTGGACAACTCAGGCTAGCCTAATCTCATTATATATCCGAAGCTAAGACACCCCCACCCCAAAAGGAATACCAGGGTCATGACACAGAGGCAGGAAATGGCAAACCACCTCTGAATGTCTCTTGCCTTGAACACCCTACAGGGTTGCCGTTAAGTCAGCTGTGACTTGACGGCTAGCAACAACAACACAAAGTTATCAACAATATCTCAACATATCCCACTTCTGTTTGGGACTAGGGCGCAGGTCAGCCAGGTCAATGACCAATCAGGACTGAGCCCCAGTACTGCTGTTTTTAATGGTAGTCCCCATCACTGGTCCCGGAACCTATGAAAACATTCCCACTAATGTATCACGCCAGTGCATTTGATTTTGGCTTCCCTGAGTAGCCATACGTCATCCCGTTCCCCTCAATGGGCCAAAGCTACCACAATTTATTTACTCATTAAAATATGTATCCCCCACCTTGCCTCTTAGCTGAGGGCACCCTCTGTCCTACCCATCCACCTTGAAAGGCAGGTACGTGACAACTCCCACTTTTTGTTGTATGCCCCCATACTCCATTCTCCTATACTTGTCATGTGTGCTGGTAAATAGGGATTGGGGGGGGGAGGCTGATCCTGAGACAAGTGAAAAGTAGAATTCATCAAGAGCAGATCTCATCAGATCCCGGAAGCTAAGCAGGGTCGACTCTAGCAAGTACTTGGTTGGGAGACCTCCTTGGAATACCAGCAGTTGGGAGGTGGGGGCAGGCTTTATTCAGACATCTCTCTGAATATCTTCCAAGCCCCCAGTAGAGGTCAGTCACCAGAGGTCGCCATGACTTCCAGGTGCACACACACATGCACATATGAAAAAATACACACACAAAGAAGATGAAGAAGACAAGAGATTGGATTTATACCCCGCCCTTCACTTGGAGTCTCAGAGCGGCTTACAAAATCTTTTCCCTTCCCCTCCCCACAACAGACACCCTGTGGGGTAGGACGGGCTAAGAGAGCTCTTTCAAGAACTGCTCTTTCAAGGACAGCTCTGACAGAACTATGGCTTGCCCAAAGTCATCCAGCAGCTGCATCCAGAACCCGGTTCTCCCCAAAAAAGAGCATCTACTTCCTAGTCTGGTGATGGATTAATAAGTCGTATGGACAGCATAGAAGCTGTGGGGGAGGCCCTTATCTGGGCCTTTTGTCCAACAGCCCCGAGTTACGAACAAGCATCGCCTTTGGCCACCTCCTTAAAAACATACACGGAATCTCCCAATCATATCACATGCTCTATTGACGTTTGAGATACTTGCCAAGTCTTTGATAAGATTTATAAAGCACAGGAAAACAGGAAGAGGCTGATTCTCATGTGATATCGTGATTAAAAATCAAGAACCAAAGCTAAATATAATTTGTCGTCACATTGCAACTGGCACAAGAAAATTGCATGAATTCATCATCTGGGATAAATTCCCCCTTCCCCCCTTTAATGAGGCTATATCAGATTTCAGTCACGGAATTAGTCCATTGCAAATGGTAATCATCGTCAAAATGTGCTTTTTAAAGGAAATTAGCATGAAGAGACTAAACATACCGAAACAAAATTTGAGGCAGACTTTACAATACCACTGCTGCCCTGCATTTTCCATGGATTTTCTATTGCATCCTTTAGGGGGTTTCACAGTGCAAAACACGCCACACAACAGGGGCTCTTCGTGGATGGTGTCCATAATCCCTAACAAGGGTACCCAAACCTAGATTTAGCCAGCCACTCAAAGGAAATAAGAAAGCCAGTGACGTGTAAAGGCTATATGGGACAAGCCACTGCAGGGTTATTTGATAAGACCATGGATGTAAGAATACCTATGGGCAGGGGTCGTTTCGTAGAAAAAGAGCTAGGGGAACTCATTAGCATAACTCATTAGCATATGCCACACCCCCTGACATCACCGGAAGTGCGTCATAAGGCCACACCCCCTGACATCACCGCAAGTGTGTCATAAGGCCACACACCCCGCCCCCAACGGTCCCGGCCGCGGGTGCCGGCCTTGCAGCTCCACTGCCGAGCCCCATGAGGGGCCCGGCGGTGGACCTGCAAGGCCAGCGGGAGTGCAAGGAAGCCCCGTGAAGGCCCTCCCTGGCCCCAGGCAGGCAGGGGTGGGGAGAGGCAGGGAGGAAGCAACTTCCCTCCCTCTTCTCCTGCCTCCTCCTGGCTGAATGAGGGCTGGAAGCGGGGTGGCCGGAAGCAGGGGGCGGGGCTTCGTCATGTGCCCCGCCCCCTGTACCTCACCCGGGGGAACTGCGATCCCCCACGTTCCCCCCTGAAATGACCTCTGCCTATGGGAACCTAATGCAACTATTGTGCCTTTATACACACACCCACCCCTTCTTTCTTACTCCATTTCACATTTCTCAGTCTTTCTTTCTCCAGCATTCTGCAATTACTCTCTATGGTCAACTGCATTTCCCCTAGCAAATCCCTGTGATTGCTCCGGAAGGGCTGCTTTCAAACTTAATTAGAGCCTAACTAAATGTTACATTTCCCACATGTCTTTGGGCTCTTACGCATTCTCATCTTCCTTGCTTGTGTGGTTCCTATTGCTTCTGGTGTTTTTTTGCTTTTCCACATGTATTTTACTCTAGTGGACGATTTGATATTACATTGCTGTACATCCAGCATAAGGTAAAGGTAAAGGTCCCCTTGCTCGAAAGCCAGTCGAATCCGACTCTAGGGTTGCGCTGCTCATCTCCGTTTCAAAGCCGAAGAGCCAGCGCTGTCCGAAGACGTTTCTGTGGTCATGTGGCCGGCATGACTAAACACCAAGGCGCACGGAACGCTGTTCCTTTCCCCCCAAAGTGGTACCTATTTATCTACTTGCAATTTCTTGCTTTCGAACTGCTAGGTTGGCAGGAACTGGAACTAGAGACGGGAGCTCACTCCGTCATGTGGGACACTCGGGTCTCGAACTGCTGAACTACCGACCTTCCACAGCCTGCAGTTCAGCGTCCTAACCACTTGAGCCACCGCAGCTCCTACATCCAGCATACAGTGATATAATATCGAATTGACCACTAGAGGCAGCAAAACATCTGTGGAAAAGGAAAAAGCACACGAAGCAACAGGGACAACACGATCAAGGAAAATTAGAATGCAGAAGAGCCCTTCTGTGAGTCTTCTCAATGGTGTCAGTAGGACATCAGTTGCCGTTTCCCAGCTGAGAATTCAACTCCCCAAGTGCACAGGGATCCCATTTGAACTGTAATGCACAAAGGAAAACAGCTGTAACCTTCCCTTCCTGCCCTGTTTTCACAACCTGAAATAGTCCTGATGGAGCACTATTAGCTCTGTGGATGGCTGCCTATATACTCATGGGGTAAGCATGGGTTCCTTCACGTTCCTGGGATCCCAAAT